GGCCCTTGAGGGACTTTAAAGGGTACAAACAGGGTATATATTAGGTATATAAGGGTGTCAGGCTCAATGGCCCATACTACCTATAGTCTCCATTGTAGTTCCTTTTTTGGTTAACCAGTTTTATGGTTAGGATCCTCTAATAGAGATATTGGTTAACGGAAAAAGGAACTACAATGGAGACTATAGGTATACTAGGAGTTACGGTTGATGGTATATGTCCTGCATTACCTTAAGGACCCTAAACTCTGGGAATAATGGTATATACCCTTGGAATGCAGGGTTTATATCTTCAACATTAACTAAGATCACGGGGACCCTTGGGGATATAGACCCTCTGAATAAGGTCCCTTTTCTAAGAGAGCCAGAAGTAGGGTTAAGAAAGGCCCCCGTTAAGGGGTCTCCATAATACCACCTACCTAGGATGTACAACCAAGGCGCGATCGCCCATTTCAGCGGGAAGTTTCTGCCTAAGTGACCGGTCCAGCTTGCGACAAGGCCGATGCCGTTCCTCGACTGGTTCTGAAATCCAAACAACAGCTAAACTTTTCGCCGTCATGATAGCAAGTATCATGAAAACCAACAAGTTAGTCAACCAAAAAGCTAACCAGAAAACAGCCAAGTTTCCATATGGCAGAAGGCACAGGACTCCACATGGCACGAGTTGTTCTTGGCGAAGTAGACGCATGGCCGAGCGCAAAGTTCGGGGTGACCCACACTTCCTGGGTTGCGCATGGCTCAGGTCAGATGGCGAAGCGGACCGCAGCCTGCGAAATGAGCCACTGCGGTGTGCCAGGCGTAGCTTGCAAAACTTTTGGAAGCCCCTGCAACAATTGCCAACATTGAGTGCTGATCAAGTGCTTTAGACTTTTAGACCCTGTTCCACCAGGATTGAAGCCTACTGACGGCCCAACATCAGCGTCCGTCTTTCTCTGGGTGGGTTTAGGATTCCAGAGGGATTATGGAATTAGGGCCTAAACGACCATACCATTATGGGTTTGGGGACCAAATTCCATAATAGTACTTGCAGGTTCATGTGGGGTTATAAGTCCCCTAATAAGGATCATAAGTATAGCTGCCTTACTTGTACCTCCCACTTTTAACCACCCATGAACCTCCAAGTAGTGTATATTGGCCCTCTTGGGATGGTTTAGGTATTTTAGGGGTGGGTGCAGTTTGGGTTGAGAAGGGGGATCAGCTTGCTGAGTGCAGCCACCCTGATAATGGCTGGGCTTCAAGTATCCAGGGAGAAGCAAGCACAGACTTGTGTTTCATAATGGTTCCCTTTAAGTAGCAGGTCCCAGAAAAGTATCAAAGTTTGGTACTTATTTATGATAGGCTTTCAACTTTCAAGAAGATTTCTTTGAGGGGTACTACAAGGGCTACGTTGTTGCAGAGCCCAGCGGGTTGTAAAGGACCTGAATGAGTAGAACAGCGCTTTTTGGGGATCCTCGATGCTTACCCTGGGGATCTAAGGACTCATGTATTAAGGCTGTTGGGCCCAAAGACCATAATACATAAGGCTTTGGGGCCATTTTGATCCCCAGGGTTAACAACCCAGAGCGACCAGAATCAGCCTAAAGTCATCTGGGTAGCACTCTGAAGTAGGGTCCCTTGTAGGATCCTGTTGATGAGGGTGGCGTACTATTTTGGGACCTGATACCGGGCCCTTATGTAGAGAACTACCCATCTGGATAGGTGGCAATGGCAAGAGCATCCCCTCTGAATGCCTACATCATACATATTTGAAGCTCCACCCAAACCTGTTCTCATTATTCGGGTCGCTACCTTGGAACTCTAAACCCCGAAAAACTCCAACCTTAGACCCTTAGCTCAAACTCTAAGCTCGAAACCCCCAATCTCAGGCCACGGCCCTCAAGGGTCAGAACAAGAACTTGACCACAGTGGTATGGTGGGGCCTGGGCAAGGACACATGTTTATGGTTTAGGGCTCAAGGTGTTGAAGGTAAGCATTCAAAGTTTAGCGTTTAGGGACAAATTTAAAGTAAAGGCTTACCCATTCTCTACGAAACCTACATGACAGGGTTGTAGTAGGCTTTCCGTAAGTATATGTCTTTGAACAGGTCGTTTTCGGCCGGGTCAATTCAGGCAGGGTTTACGGCTTGGTGTTTTGGGTGTATGGTTTAGCTCACCCACAATTTTAAGGACATATATACAGGGAAATCACGATCAGGAGCCCTAAAAAGGTACAGTCTAAGGCTTCGGAGGTTCATGAGTTTGTAGAAATCTCCTTACTCTTCTGATGCCGGTCAAGGCTCAGCGCCTCAATTTTGGGGTGTTTCTGAGCGTTCTAGGGCGACTTGTACAATCAGAATAGGTGGTAAAGCTTAATCAGGAACCCTTAGGAATACTGCGGCTAGTTTCTTCAACCCTAAAATTACGGTGTTGTGATTTGGCGCTTGAAGGATTAGGCTCTGAGTCAGGGACTTGAATTCTTGAGAATGGGGCGTCTAGGCTATGAGTGCAGGGCGTTGGGTCTCAGGGCTAAGAATCTTTCCGGAAATCAGAATGGGCTGGTTTCGTGCCCCTACCTGGACCCTAAGGAAGCTACCGTTTTAGGGTTCCCTGATATGATTTCTTTATACAAGTCCTTAAAAAGGTAGGTTACGTGGGGTTAAGGTAAACCGTAAACCCTATAGGGGGCAGGTCATGAGTTCGCGATGCACCCAACCGTTTCTTTGTACTCATGGCTTATGGCTCCAGTTTAGGGGCTTTGCGTATTGGATAACCTTCAACCCACAACGCATATGACCTCGTGTAGGCCTTACAGGGCCGCAGAAATGGAAGAATGCTCCTTGGGGTGCCAAAAAACACACAGCATGCAATTTGAGCGTGAAAGGCCCAATCTTTGGCTCCTTCGACCCACAAGTACTGCATACGACCTAGGCCTTAAACCCTATAAACCCTACAGGCTGAAAGTGCTTTTGGGGAGTGGAGGTCACTGATGATTCCTGGAACCCCACCAGATGGCGGCAGAAAACTGAGTTAACGACCACGACGCCAGCAGGTCCTGCTCATTGCGTGAGGCACTAGCAGGGCCCTTAAGGACGAAATGAACCCTAAAACTGTTTGAGGTTCATATACCATGTAGGGATTCATAGCATATGGGTATAGGGCCCCTACTTTTCAGGGTCATTTGGTCCTTCAGGGCTTTCTCAACTGGGCAACCGGCGCTTTTGCCGAATGTCAGAGGTCTGAACCCATCCAACAAATGGGCCTTGACAAGCAGATTAGGTCTGGAGTATCTCATCATAAACGATCTTTTAATTATTAAAAAGGAGCCCTGGGGAAGTAGTGACTGTAGTGTTGACAAATATTCAGTTATTGCATGCGCAGGGACACTCACAATATCCAGGGCTCTACTGAGATCCGAGTAGGTTAAGGCTTAAATTTCAAAAAAGGCCGTTTCCCCAGCCGGCATATAGCGGCCGGAATTGTAGTAGCAGCTTTGGGGTGAGGAATCTATTAGTGCTAAGTATAAACCTAAATAAGTAACCCTCAAGAACAGTACGCTTGTACAGCGACAGAACTATTCAATAAATCATGGTTAAAAAAACCGAGCCCCTGGGACAGCCGCGCGACAAACCATATGTACACAAAATGTGCAAATAGAAAATGAGAGAACGCAAAGTATGAAATCCGGGGTACCCTGACCTCGACGTGGCAATTTCTTATTCCGCTCTTCTCGGTGTGTCTTCACTTGCTCTCTTCGCTGAGAAACCGAACCAAGAAACTGAGTGGCTAGATCTGGTAACACCCTAAACCCCTAAACCTTGATTCCCTAAACTCCAAACCCCTAGACCTCAAACGGACGGAACAGGCGCCCGCTTTTTTGCCAATCGACCTTGCGCTTGCCCACTGAGCTACAGCTACGATTGATGAGATAAATCCTGCATTACCGACAACCGGAATGTGCCATTATTCCCATAGTTTAGGGTCCTTAAGGTAATGCAGGATCTGTATCATCAACCGTACCTTCCGAAAACGAAGGATTTCAGACCTCAGTCAGCCCATTAGTTTCTTGAATCGGTAAGCCGCCGCTGAAAACCCTCAAAACACCTAAGTTGTTAAACTTCAAAAATGGAGCCCCTTCGATTTTGCTTTTATCAACCCCTAATTGAGCCCTTACAGAGCCTCTAAAGCCCTCAGAAGCTGTCACTAAGGCCATATGTAGCCCTTAAAGTAATTGGCACTCCCAGAACCCTCCCGTTATCAGGATTTTTCTGTTGAATGTAAGAAATCGAGCCTCTCAAGCCTGAGTGGATAAGCGCAGAACTCAGTTCGAGAACTGCTGCGAGCACGAATCACAGAATCGTTCTTGCGTGCCTGTGTTTTTTTTGGATTCTGGTTGGCTAAAGCACATGACGTTTTGACATGCCAAAGCTACAAACCAGAAACAGGATCGATAACGGCTTAACTTGGCTCAAGTAAGCTCATATTGCTCTCTGTTGAAAAAATGCTCTACGAGAAACAAGAGAAAAAACAACATCGTCATAAGCTACCCAAGAGTCATGAACCCCTAAATCCCTAAACCCGAAAAACCCTAAACCCTACCCAAAAGTCAGGAAGTAAATCCCAGTCCGGCGACCGCCGCTCGAAACTTGGAGCGACGCGCCCACCTTAGCTTCGGATTCTTTCTCTGAGGAAGCACTTGGAAGCAAATAGGTTGAGGGCTTGGGGCTTAAGGTGCACGGTTTCGGGTTAGGGATGGCTTAGGACTTAGGATTTCGGGGGTTAGCTTTTGGGCCCAGTTTAGAGTCTACCCTTCTATTCCAGATCTTTTTGCTTCGCTTCGAGCGTGGGGGCTTATGCATGACGCTCGCAAATAAGACTGGTTCTAGGTGAACTCTACAACGCTTATCGGGTGTTGATATTCTGATTCAGGGTTGTATACACCCAAAGTTGCGAATACTGCGCCCAAAACATCCCGCATGGCACATTCATTGCGAGGACTCGGAACAAACAAATTCTAAACCCATGGACCTAACTCCCATCAAGCGAACCAGTTTCAAAGGGGGCTCCGAAATCCATAAACATCAAGGGCATCCTGGACTTTCAAGTAACCAGGGAGAAAAAAGTATAGACTGTTATTTCATATTGGTACCAAAAAAGTATTCAAGTATGGTACTACAAACCCAGGTATCAGTTGGAAACCAGGACTACACATGCTAAACCCGACACCTGCAGTCATAAGCCGCATGAACCCTGCAGCCCAAACCTTGTTTACATAGTCACTTCAACAAACCTACATGGCTACAGGGCGGGAGCTAGTCATGGTGACTTCAAGAGTTGCGGAGCCCTGCACTAGGCATGTAGTAAGTATAGGTTATATCTCAGCTGCCATAACCTATGTCGTCATAGGGGCCGACTGCCAAGCCTGCTATAGAACTCAATGGCACGTGTGAGACGGGCTGGGGGCAGGCTGCACAATGTAGACGGTGGCAGGCTTCTGGTTAAGGGCCATATCCGATCTAAACCCTAACTAAAACAAAACAGCGAAGTCGCTCTAGGGACCCAAGATAAACCCCGAAAAAAGGAGTCTATAGGAACCCAGCCAAAAAGAAGTACTCTCCGCCGATTCGCTTTGGCTGGAAAACGGGTCCCCACAGTGAAACACCATCGCACTCCTGACCAGGACTGCTTTGCTTGGGATTGTAGCACCTTTGTTGTGCGTATGACCCTAAACTGAATACCTAAGGTGAGCAAAACAGGAACCTACAGTCCGCGGTCCAGCCAAACTTGAACTTAGGTTTCTAGGTTCCGCAGGATCATTCTGCACCACAAGAACCTTGAGGACGAAATGCACCCTATCAGGGTCTAAGGTTCATATATACCATACAGGGATTCATAGTATATGAGTATAGGGCCCCTGCTGTTACGGGTCATTTGGTCCTTCAGGAACAGGCAAGACCACGCAAATCCCGAGTTGTGCCAACACTTGGCTTCCTCTTTACAGGCTATAAGGATTGGGGCTGCCGGGCTTCAAACTTTGGGGTTCTACTGTATACGGGCCGCAAAAATATGTGCTGCACCAAACTAGACCGGAATAGCTGACGTTGAGCATTTTCGACCCCACAACAACGTCGAAGAAGGTCTTGGTAATTCAAGGGAAAACGAAATGGACCCTCGAGTTCTGCGTGGAACTTCCCTCTAACTCCCCCCGCCGAAAACCTTAAGCCCTGAACTCCTGAACCCTTACAACCATTCAAAAAGAACCCTCTACACCCGAAGCTCTAAATCTAAACCCTTAAGCCCTAAAAGCCCTAAAAAACTCAAGAAACCCTACTAACCCTAAAAAAACTCTAAACACCCTTAAACACTTCAAAGAACAAAAAACCTTTTCCGGGGACTCCTCCTCCGGCCACTCTTCGACATCCTCTGCCTCGCTGTTCTCCTCCTCAAGCGGACGGCTCTCTTTCGGTGTTAGGGTTTAGAGGGGTTTGGGTTTAATTCTCTCGTGTTTGGGGGTTATGGGTTGTAAGGCTTTAAGGTTTGGGGAGTTTAGAGTCTATCCTTTCGGTGTTAGGGTTTAGTGGTTTGGGGTTTAGTCTCTTGTGTTTTGGGGTTCTGGGTTTAGGGTTCTAGGGTTCAGGGAGGTTTGGATTTATCCTCTTGTGTTTTGGGGTTCTAGGTTTTAGTGTTCTAGGGTTCAGGGAGTTTAGGGTGTAGGATTTTAGGATTGAGGGTGCTCAGCTTTAAGGTTTTCCGGCTTGGGTGCTGTGCGGTGTGTTCGAAAGCGTTGAGGAACACGTACCGGGGTTCTAGAGCTATGTTGTGAATATAGTGGTTTAGGTTCGCGTAGGCGTAGGGCTTGCGGTAGGTTTGGGTTTAGGGCTTCGGTGAGCTCAGCATTTTCTTTTTCCAGCGTGCTGGGCGTTCGTTATAGCAGGATATCCAGGTTGGTACATGGCATGGGAGCGGTGCAGTGTAAGACTCTTTTGAAAGTGCCTCTTGCCTTACATTTTAAGCCAGGCCTGAGAAATTCAAAACTCAAACTGTCGGGCCCTAAAACCCATGCCGGTGAGTGGGGTCCTCGTCATCGTCCTCCTGAAGGCTACCGGCATCTGACGCCTCCTGCAACTCCCCGCTGTTCGGTTTTGCTTCTTTCTACAGGATGCCTTGAAGGCATGCCTCAACGCGGAATACCCTACCTTTTCAAGGACTTATAAAGGGAAATCATAACCCTAAAAAGGTAGGCTATTCAGGGTTAGGTAAGCCTTGTGACTTTGTCCGGTGGTGTGCTAGCCTAACAAAATACTAAATAATCGGAAGGAATGTGTTGCCAATGCTCCAAGCCCCTATAATTCGCCATATCAGAGCCCGATAACACTCTCATACAACTACTTTAAGGATTCCCGTCTACATAATTAGGGTCCCCTTTTGAAAAACCCTAAATAGTAGATGCCGTATTATAATAGGGACCCAAAAAGGGACCCTAATTTTGACAACCACCCATGCCTTTGGTTGTTACGGCTTTTGAGCCCTGCACTCGGGAACTCCACGTTGCTATCCAGCCGCCTGCAAAGCCCGACACACCAAGTTCAGGGGTGTAGGATTCAGGGTTTAGGGTTTAGGGTTTGGAGGTTATACTTTAGAAGCTGCCCCCACCCTGTAATAGTGACCATAAGGATTATATTAGGGCCCTTTTATATTCCTATTATACCACTATTACAGGGTGGGGGCAGCTTCTAGGGTGTAGGGTTCAAAGATTTAGAGTGGCTTTGATGTAGACCCCTGACTCATAAAACAAAACAGTCTTCAAGGTGAAAGGCCCCAGTCAGTAGGAGCCCGACCGTTCATCCCCTACACAAGGGAGGGGGGGGGGGTACATAAATCAGGGTAAGGTTTAGGTAAGCACCAACCAAAAGAACGAAAGGCTGTGAACCCCTCAACGCTAGAACCCACAAGCCCTAAAGATTCATGCTGCTGATGGACAAAATCGTGCATGACCCTAAGGACTCTAAACTATGCGAACTATGGTCTATTCCTTAAAATGGGTGATGCAGGATTTTGTCCATCAACAGTACCAGGCTCTTCTCTGTTGTAAAACCCGGGCTCGAAACCAAGATCTTTCCGCAAGCAAAAACGAAGAAGCCGTGCCTCCGCCCTTTTGGTGGCACAAGACCTGAAGGAACCAAATGACCCTTAAAAGTAGAGGCCCTTTTCGCCCATATACTATGAATCCCTATATATGGTCTATGAACCTTAGACCCTTTTAGGGTTCATTTCGTCCTAAAGGGACGCGAAAAAAGACTTGAACGTCGGCACAGAAAAGCCCCTGCCACGCCTGGGGAGCCGCGGCAACCTCTTTGGCCAAGCGAGCTTCCTGCGGCATATTCTAATTATGGGCTTAGGGTTTTGGGTTTCGGGTTTAGGGTTTAGGTTTTTGGGCTTAGGGTTTTGGGCTTCGGGTTTTGGGCTTAGGGTTTAGGGCTTTAGGCCCCTATACTATAGTACCCTTATAGATCCCTTATGGACCCCTTGAAAGGAGCCCCATTCTGATTAGAAGAAGCAGCTAATGCAGGGGCCTCACTCAACAACCAGCATAGGATTGTCGGCCATGTTATGAGGAACCTGGGGGTTAGCAGTGGGAAATGAATGCTTTCATTATTACTTGGCGGATCAAGGGAGCTAGCCGTACAAATAAGTACCTTCATTTCATTGGGGGTTCTAAGTAGGTACTACTATAGCTACCTTACTTATACCCCTACGATTTATTTCTGCCGTTTTTAATATAATACTATTGCTAATATTGTTAAATACAAAACCGTATTAGTACTCTGATGATGACGATGACGATGGTGATGATGATGATTATTATTACCATTATTTTGCATTATTACACGATATTGGTCCTCTTCCAGGTATCTTCGCATCTTCTCGGCCTGGCGTCTTTGCGGTTCGGTGCTGGACTGTGGCTCCGACTAGTAGTTGCGCAAGGGTTAGGGTTAGGGTTCTGGGTTTGGGGTTTACGGGTTTAGGGATTAAGGTGTAGGGTTGGGGGTTTTGGGTTTATAAAGGGTTAGGGCCGGGGTTTAGGGTTTAGGGTTCAGGGCTTGGGGAATGGAGTTTGTTCAAGGGCGAGTCATAATCGGACGAGCCGGGGCGAGCGGAGAAATCAGCAGTACATAATGCTCGAGATGGTCCAGGCGGTGAGCACAACAACTCACATGCAGAGCCCCTCTCGCCTTACTCATGAGAAGAGTATTTGTAGGGTATATGTGCTCTGCCTAGAATAGGATTCCTGCTTATTCGAACCAATGATTAACTCGACTTCTGTATGTGGTTGGGGGCCTTGGCGTATATGGCGAAAGAAGCCTGCCAGATTCAACTAAGGTGTGCTGCAGGAGTCAGAGGTACCCTAAACCCCAAGCCCTGAAACCTACACTTCAACCCCGGACCCTGAACTTCCTAAACCCCTCAACATCCCCAAACCCTATAGGACCCTTATAGATCCCTTATAGGAGCTCCTAAGGCTCCTTTAAACCCTTGCACCCTCTGCCTCGAGCTCCGCGCTGGTCGGGCTCTGCCGCGCGGCCTCTCCAGTTTTGATGCGAAGCACTTGCCTTGGCCCAGACGTCAGCTTAGGGTTTACCCATAGGATCCATGCTGCTGATGGACAAAATCCTGCATGACCCAGTATAAGGAATATATCATAGTTCGCATTGTTTAGAGTCTTAGGGTCATGCAGGATTGTGTAGTTCCTTCTTGGGATTACCTTATAGGATTCTGAACATGAAACCACAAAAGGAGCTACGATGGAGCCTATGGGTAGTTGCTTTTTTTGTTTGCGGGCCCTGCTCCCAACTGTCGGGGTTTAGTATGCAGGGTTTACCTTAACCCGAATTAACCTGCGTTTTTCAGGACTTGCATAAGGAACTCATAACAAGGAACCCCCCAAAATGGTAGGCTCTTCAGGGTTAAGGGAGGGGTTGCGGATTTTGGAGTGCAGGGCCTTTCCTAGGTTAGGCTCCTAGCATGGACCCTTCGCCCTTTCCAGGGACTTTAAAGAGTACAAACAGGGTATATATTAGGTATATAAGAGTCCCAGGCTTAAGGGCGCATACTACCTATAGTCTCCATTGTAGTTCCTTTTTTTCCTCATCATCCACGGCTTTCGTCGCTGCTTTTAAGGTCAACTGACTGTAGTTGAAAAGCGGCTTCCAAAAGTTAGGGGGTACAGAACTTCAAAGTTTTTGGGCTGTAGTCGAAAAGCAGCTTCCACAAGTTGGATGTATAGAACTTAAAACCTTTTTGTACTGTAGTTTGGAGGCGGGTTCCAAAAGTTTGGGGGTAAAGAGCTGAAACTTCTTGTTGGTCTTCATAACCTGAGGTGTTTGCCGCCAACAAGGGTCGGATTTAGAGTCTTAGGCCTACTTCCTTCTAAGCACCGTGAACCCGCAAATCGAAAAACCCTGATAGCCTCAAGCACTAAGCTACCAACACATATCGAAACTAAATCGGATCAACCTGTCTAGGGCTTACCTGGACCCCCCCCCCGGATAAAATACTTTGTTTGTGGGTTCCTTTTGTTACCTTAACGCTAGATTTGTAGGGGCTGAGGTGGGGACATTCCGACTTTTCAGCCGAAGAGTCCAACAGTTGAAGAGTCAACTGAAGAGGTGCTGTTTAGGGGTTTAGGGTTTAGGGTTTAGGGGTTTAGGGTTTAGGGTTTAGGGTTTAGTATGCGCTCGACCTATCACTTCACGAGGGTCCAAAGATTAAGAAAAGAGATCGGAGCCGCTACTCAACGCGAGAGCCCTGAGCCCTTCGAACCCCCAAGGCCCAAACCCTGAACACCTGAACTAAATTTGTTTTTATATTTTTTTAATTTTTTTTAATTTTTTAAATTTTTTAAACTCTAAAAAACCCTAAACTCTAGACCCTAAACCCCTGAACACCCTAGACCCTAAACACCCTGAACACCCAACCCTGAACACCACCCTGGCCGGGGTCCCCGACTTTGCATGGGAGGGAAGGGCATAGATGCACTCGTTCCCAGCCAAAACGCAGGTCCTCCACTTCCTCTGTTTCGAACGGGTTGCTCCTAATAAAAGTATATACTTTCATTTACTACAATATAGTATGCTTGAATGTACTCTAATGTAGTATGCTTTAGTATACTGTAACATAGTATGACTAAATATACTCCAATATACTATGCTTTAACATACCGTAAGGTAGTATGTTTCTTTATGTACTATAATGTAGTATGCTTTATAAATGTACTATAATATAGAATACCTGAATACACCATAGTACAGTATGCTTTAATACAGGAATGTCCTTTGCTTAGGAAGATGAGGTTCCTGCCGGTGGTTTCCTTAATTAAGGGTTCTCCTAAGCGACCCGGCATGCCGAAATTCGGATTATGACTCTTAGCTTCCTTAAGTAAGGGTTCCTGGTGGGGCTCTCAGGGGTGTGATTGTACCTACAGTCTCCATTGTAGTTCCTTTTTTTGGTTAACCAAAATCTCTATTTTGGGGTCCTAGCCATAAAACTGTGTTAACCAACAAACGGAACTACAATGGAGACTATAGGTAAGGCTTGAAGCAGAATGTTTGTAGGGCTTTGACGGAGTTTTAGCTTTGTCCTCTTGAAAACCGCCGAGGCCCTAATTACACCCCAGTCAACCGGTTGAAGACCCCACCCCTCATAGATCAGCCTAACCTCGACTAGGGATCCTTGCAAAGTGAGCTAAACTTTAAAACCAAATCGAAACCCTAAACCCTCAACTAAACCCGCTTCCTCTAAAGGGTCGATGGTTGTGATTTTAACCCTTAAGTAGATGATCTTGGCTTTGGATGTTTGCAAGCACTCACTCTGCAGAAGATCTTGTTCAAGAGAGCTTCTGGTAATGTCGAACCCCGAAGCCAAGCTGAAAACCTCTACGTTGACTCTGAAATTGTCTGCCAACCCCAAAGACAAGCACTTTCTGTGTTCCTATGGTCGTGAACAGGACGACTATTGGGCTACAGGTAACCCTATAGAACACTAGCAGAATCCTTGTAAAAAGCTCTGTAGGAACCCTTAGAGAATAGACCCAAGTCAACTCTAAACCCTAAAGCGGAAACAAGGAACTACTGGCGCAAAGGGTCCTAGGTACCGTTGTGAGGGATACCTTTCTAAGTCATACGAGTGATGTCTAGTATAGAAACCCTACATTCTACGTACTACGTACTTAGGACCGCATGGGTTATGGTAAACCCCAAACAGGTTGGAAACCGGGTTAAGGACAAATCGTGCTGGGATTTCCTATGCATTACTCTTAAGGATTGAGGCTATTGGGATTCCAACTTTTCAAACTTTTAGGCTTCTACCATAGGAGTCTCTAGCCCCAAGCTTTTTGCTGCCAAAACCACTCGACGCCCTCCGGTTGAGGCTCACAAGGCATCTCGGGGCCAATCAAAGAGATCAGTCCCTCCTCCTTCAGGGATGAAGATTGTAGGTGTTTTTTGAACTCCTTTTGAAGATTGCCATTTGAAGATTGTAGGTTTAGGTTTTAAGGTTGAAGCTCTTAAGGTTCAGTTGTAATTATAAGATGATTCACAGTAAAACTTGAAGGGTTTAAGGTTGAGGGTATTAAGGTTCGGTTGCAAGACGATTTGAGGCGGAAGAGGGCTGGAACTCTAGAGTGTACTGGTGTGTGGGGAACAGGGTTTAGGGTTTACTAACCCTAAACCCTACCTCAAGGCTTTATGGTCTGGGCTACAAGGCCTGGCTGCTTGGCCCAGCATTCACGTCTCAGGCTTTCGCCCGACTTAGAGGTCCGGGAGGGTTAACACGACATGCATATGCATATGCATATCTATATATATATATACACACATATATATATATGTAATTATATATATATACACATGTATATATATATATATATATATATATATATATTATATATATGGTACCCCCCCCCCCCCCCCCAAAGACCAAGGTTTCTATATGAGCTTTAGATTCAAGCCCACTTACACTAGCCGATATTCGTTGGTCTTTGGGGGGGCAGGGTGCCAATAACAACCCTGTTAAGGTGTAGGGACAAACACGCATGACACAACCCCCTTGTGGTTTTCATACAAGCCTGCATACAATAATCCTTATACCATTTCCTGTCGCACATTCCAGGAGGCCTATTGAATTCAATAGGCCCTATTGAATTCAATAGGCCTTCTGGATTGAAGATTGAAGATTGAAGATGCCCTCAAAAAGTTTCCGGGGAGATCTTCAATCTTCAATCCGTGAGGCCTATTGAGTTCAATAGGCCCTATTGAATTCAATAGGCCTTCTGGATTGAAGGTTGAAGATTGAAGATGCCCTCAAAAAGTTTCGGGGGAGATCTTCAATCTTCAATCCGGGAGGCCTATTGAGTTTAATAAGCCCTATTGAACTCAATAGGGTTTATCTTGAAATCGATCATGAGGGCCGTACGTGGAAGTGTGAAAATTGGGTTCAGGGGTCAAATTCTACCGCTGCGTTTGCGTACTTTGGAGTACACGCATATGGTTTTAAGGGCTATGAAGAGAAAGTCATCAACTAGACGTATGATACTACCTTTAAGCTTCCCTAAACGTATTCTTTTGATTTACGCCCAGCTTAATATCAGATAACACTACTAGTTTTATGCAACAAATGCAGTTGGAATACTAAGAATATAATCGAGGGCTCAATCTATCGAACTGTATACTACTGAGGTATCAAAAGCACATACTTTAACGTCCATGTAGCTAGCAATCTATGCATGAATGTATATGTTCGATTCAATTATTCGAAAGACTACTAAATGCACCGTATTATTGTAATACTTAGAACTGATTTGACATAAGTAAATAAACACTCCGCCTAAATAGGTCCGAGGATCTGGCCTATCCAGCTGTTTGCGTACTTGTGAAAATAATATTCTACAGCTATATACTAAGCTACATCTTCATATAAGTCTAACGTTGCCCCTGCAGGCACTACTGTGAATATATTGCTTTCTGAGATCTAATCGGCAGACAACAAACCCTCTATGCTGTTTATATATGTGAATCTGACGATTGTTAGCTCAGCAAGCCCTATGCTTGAATTGATCCGAGGATTCAATTCAATATACCCAATCATCTAATTACCAACATACAGAATAATCATGTTTCTGCAGTCAGTAATCCGCATAAGTATGTCATTATCCCTGGGTGTAGTGATATCATATGAAGCATTATAAATATAGTTTTTTTGTCTGTTCGTGTTGACTGGCAAGGCACTGAATGAATAGCTTAGTTGTAGAGAGATTTCTTCAGGCTGTTTGGCTCCTATTCAAAAGTATAGCTTCCAAGGTTCTACTATGCTGTTACTATTAAGCAGCTATCTGGGTAAACCGCAACAAGGAATCTCAAGCCATATTATTTGCAATTAGCAGTTAACAGACCCTGTAAACTCGATTGTATAACCGGTTGCTGAGTACTTAACCTTATTTTTCCAAGAATGAAATGGTGCATGCTAAATGGTAACACCGAGGACCGAGGTCTTATACTTAATAGGCATGTTTAAACTATAAGACTATATGCTTGATATCTCAAACACATAGTCTAAGAATACATGTCTTTGTAGGGCCACATCTGTAGTAATTAACAAACCCTGGAAGTTCAATTCTATATTCAGCTGGCAAATACTTAACCTTTTCTTTTCGCATACAATAAATGGTACACACTAAACGATGGCATCGAGGTACTATGCTTGGTAGGTGTTTTTCAACGTTATAAGTAGCTTGATTTCTTAAAAACCAATAGTATAAGAATAAATGTGTTTGTGGGGTTGACAACATACTACAACTGAAGCTAATAAAGCACACGGCATGGGGCGAGTTTTCCATACGAAGTAAGCCGTCAACAGAATATGGCACTTGAATGGAAAACGTTTTGGTCGTGATCGCGCTTAGAATGGCTCTAGGCGAGAAACCAAAAAACAATACCAACAAAAAACAATAAAACAATACCACCAAAAACAAAAAAACACTACCAAAAACAGCATTATTTCAGTACTCTTCCAGAATAGCATTAGAATTCCATATTAATGGGAGCACCCACCAATGTTCTTATCTGAAAACCTTGGTCTTTGGGGGGGGTAGCATATATGTGTGGGCAATAAGGGGTACAGAGGGCACCCAGCCTGCTGGCTCAGGCTTGCGAACCCCAAGCCCCGTAACTCATAACGTTCACTGCTTAGGGTTTAGGCAAAGGGTGTAGGGTTCAGGGTTTAGGGTTTCCCAAAAGCCTAAACCTCGGCCCCGAATACCCACAAAGAAGCGAGTCTGTCGGAGCTCGATACTGAAGTGGTTGTGCTTATAAGTGTCTTGGACAGGTGGCTTTTGTATGGGCTGTTGGTACGTATAGATCTGCTAGACGCGAGGGATTGCGCACGATGAAGAATACGGCCTGAATAATTGGAGGTATACGGCCTGACTGTTCGTTGTCTGCATGCATGAACATATCATGTTCAGGCAACCTGGTTTGTGAGGTACATCCCTAAACCCTAAACCCCTAAACCCTAAACCCCTAAGCCCCTAAGCCCCTAAACCCCTAAACCCTACACCCCTAACCCTAAACCTTAACCGTGTTTAGGAGCCCTCGCAGAGTCTTCGAGTACGACAAAGGGGGCATCCTTAACCCCAGGCCAAAACACCTACAACTTACCGTTGGTTAGTAGGGAATGGAAGAATGGGGTACAATTAAAGCTACTCTTGCTACCATTCTTCCATCCCCTACTAGCCAAAGGTAAGCCACAAGAACGAGTGTGTGGACGCAAACGGTTGCCAACCCTAATCCGGAGCCGCACAAAACCCAAGGCACCAATTACCTATAGTCTCCATTGTAGTTCCTGTTTTTGGTTAACCAACTTCTCTATTCTAGGGTCCTCCATAAACCTACCATAAACCTGGTTAACCAAAAAAAGGAACTACAATACTACAATGGAGACTTTAGTAAACCCTAAACGCCCAAAAACCTTAAACTGGCATAGGCAGATGCAGACAGCGGAGCTTGGTCAGAATGCCACGCGATGCTTGCCCCCGTGCAGCATCAGCAGATGAACATACTATAGGTGCGTTAGCAACTACCGATGCTATGTCAGTTCTGGGGTTCCTGATTATGAATATGGTCCACAAAACCCTGTTCTAATTATTAAGGCCCACATGGTTGCTTTATTCCCGGCTCCATCTGGCAGATATTTTCGATGTGTTTGGCAACGGCGGCGCTGCGACTCGTCCCGGCGACGAAAGCGGAGTTCTGGCACGTTGTCCACCCGCTGGCTCCTCACCAGCTTTAACCAGAGCCGGGCGATCTTCCTGGGCTGTCCCCCATGGGTCCAAGTATCATCATGGCATATACTTAGACCCCCAAAATGCCCTATAAGCATATACCAGGATGAGACTTGGACCCTTTGGGGTCTTTGCAGAGATGCTCCGGCTGGCAGATCCCATCCGAATGAAGACCGGGATCTGGCAGTTGAAGGTTTAGGGCTCCTTGAAAGGAGCGTTTCAGGGTTCCTTTAAGGCTTCTACAGGGATTTAGGGGTTCAGGTTTTGGTTGAGGGCAGCAAGAACTCGAAAGCCAAATGGGAGTTTCTGAAAACAGAGGTACCTTATTTTGGGGTCCTTATACTATATTAGGGTCCCCTATTTTCGGAAACTCCCAAATGTACAAAAATGCCTTTCATTCCCGCTCCTGGCAGTCAAACTTCATGACCTTCCAGGGCTGCTCTTAAGCAAAATGAAGCTAAGTTACCATGATACGGAGTCTTTGCAGATAAGATGACGTCTTCATGTTCTGTGGCAGCATGGTTTTCCTTACATAGCTTAAAACATCCATCTGGTTTCCCCATGCCGCTTATATGATGACATGGTTTCCATTCTAGCTCATATGCCAGCTTCTTTGGGGGGGTACACCTACACCATAACTGTGTAGGCTAGGCCAACATCCCACGAGAACATGCATCTGAGGGTCTGCCACCTCACATGTGTACCCTCAAGCTACTATGGTGGCCTCAATAATTAGAATAGGGTTTTAGGGCCCGTTATACTACAAGTATAATAAGGAACCCCCAAAATAGTACAGGCAATTGTTAAGGCCCCTTTGGTATGCAACGTGCCAGGGACCCCTACGGTACGCTTGATGGAGGCCTCATGGCCCTGGTCATGGATACCCAAGGCATACGAAACGGAAGTTGACAAGTCTTGGTGGAACTCAAATGGCGTAAATAGCAACATGAAGCTTGAAGTTCCTTCATCTTAAACTTTGTAATCAACCTAATATTCCGAATTTGTGTTCATAGCCCGCGTCGCCTTGTTGGCATTGCACGGTGGCGCATAGATGCAGCCATCGGGTGCGGCTTGGGCAACCCGCCACTTGTGAGCTTGAGGTGCAAAGACTGGTCCTCCACAGGGACTTAAGGTTCAGGGATAGAGTTTGTAGCTTAAGGCTATGTGCGCCTTAGAACCATAAGAAAGATAATATTTGTCAACATTCTCTTGGGTTATATATGAACAAAAATAAATACATGTGTTAACATTCTCTTGGGTTTTATATGAACAAAAAAACATAATTCCTAACGAAACTATAGATGGGGTGTGATTGAGGCTGTTGGAGCTTGTTGCTTGATCATGTCTGCTTTAAGCGTGAGGCTGACAAGCACTAGGATGCCCAGTAACCCAGGAATAAAAAGGGCTCAGGATTTAGGGCTTAGGGTTTAGGGTTTAGGGGTAACTTTATCAGGAACCTAGGACTACAAAAAGGGAATAAGGGTACTACTGGGCATCCTAGACCAAGACCTCATCGGTTGGGGACCCCTCGCCTGGAGGATTGGGTCCTGAGTCCTCGGTAGGCTTATGAATTACTACTATAGGGGCCTAAATAATTACCAACAGTGCTTTTGGGGGGTTCCTTATTCTAATTCTAGTATAATATACCCCCAAGCCCTTTTCTAATTATTAAGGCCTCTGTGTTAGCTCCTGGCAGCTGGCAGTCTGAACGGTTTGACGAAGGTCTGGGGGGCGCCAAACGCGAAACTCAAGACTGCTACCTTCTAAAACCCTGGCCCCCTCTTAAGCAACCCTGAAACCCATCAAGTCTAAACCCAGACCCGACAGGAACCTTCTAAACCAACCCATCAGGGAACACCAAAAGGCCCCTCAACCCCAGAAGCCCGTAAGCCCTGTTAAGGAACCTTTCGTAAGCTATGATGCGGGTCCGTACTGCTCCACTGAGGCCTCGGTGCCCACCTCAGTGCCCGATTCGTGTTTAAGGTTTAAGGGTTGCAGGTTTAGGTTGCAATGCAATTTTTCGACGAAATTTCAAAAAAGACTTGCAGGGTTTGGGAGCTACTTCGGGGTTGTAGGTTTGTTCAGGGTTGTAGCATTAATGCGGTGTATAAAAAATGATAAGCACACAGGGCTTAGGGCTCGAGGCGAGAGGTGTTATGGTTGGCGTTTAGGGTTATACTTAGAGGATCATGGGACTTCGTAACTAGGGTTATAATCACGGTAACTATACTCATAATTGCAAGGTACTTCTAACCATACTTCCCATGATCCTCCAAGTAGGGTTGCGGGCCGCTGGCCCCTTGGTGGGAACTTAACTTACTTGCTGAGTCTGTAGGCCCAGAAAGGTACCCCTTTTCAGTTCTATAAGCTATAGCATTATCTCAAAAAATCCCAAGGGTCCAAAGGACGGACCCAATAACTACTCAGGTACTCAGCTTCTTGATAGTACTGACGTAGGTTAGGATTTTGGAGAGTGTATGACAAAAAAAGTATTTGGACCCTTGGGGAAGGTGTAAAGTGTAATCGCGCAGATGCTAAGGTAAGATAACCTGAAGGACCAAATGACCCTGAAAAGTAGGGGCCCTATACCCATATACTATGAATCCCTATATGCTATATGAACCTTGTACCCTTTTGGGGTTCATTTCGTCCTTAAAGAAAGGAGAACTAAGGAGAGGACCAGAATGCGCAGCGCTTGGTTGGCGCTGAAAGGCGGTGCGTAAACCTCGAAGTATGTTTGTTTTCTAGTTTTAGGGTTTTGGGTTTACCCAGAGGCTCCAAAGTGGTTCCTTTTTGGGGTTACCTTATAGGATTCTACATATGAAGCCCAAAAAGGAACTACTATGGAGCCTCTGGGTAGGGTGATGGCTTACGGTATGGGGTCTTGGGCTTGGGGGTGTTGGGTTGTAGATTTGGGGTTTAGTGTTGGTTGGAAGCTCACATGCCGCGTTGAAACGTCCCACTGAGAATCGATGCGCTGAATCCGCCCGGAAATCTAGAGTTTGAGTATAGTACGGCCTTAACAGCAAGTAGCTCTGCAAGATCCTGCTCAGGTCGTCGATCGCCATGCCAGGGATCTGCACTGCATCATCGATGACGCACAATCCAGACACACTGATCTCTACTGGCAATGCAACCTGGGCAGCATAGGAGCCGGTGTATGCGGCCGCAACGTCCACGATTTCGTGCCAGCAAGAACTCCATTTCCCGTCCTGGCCCTGATAGGATCTGAGCATTGCCACTTGATGAGAATCCCTAAGAGACCAGCGATGACCTGGAATCTTGCCAGGTAGTGCGACATCTGTTTCGACAATGGGTCAGCGAACACTGGGCGGACAGCTTCGCAAACGGCGCCCTCTGCGTCCACGTCCTTGGTCGCTGACCACTGCGCAACGTCGGCATCCTGAAGGCTTGGGGCCACGGATGTCGCAGTCGCCCAGCGCATGCGTTGCCATAGTCATAACAAGGACCCCTCACGAAAAGCTTTGCCTGCTGTTCAAGGCATCGTCATCGCACCCAGAAAGCCCGGCACCCTTTCGTTAAGGAACATCTCTTAAGCTATGGGCTTGCTGTTATGATGTAGAAGCCCTACAATGGTCCAAGCACCTAATGATCATGAACTCTCCCAAATGCTGACTTACAAAACTGCGATCCGTAACCCACCCTAGTACCAATTTAGTAGATCCTTCCTTTAAAAATGGGGGCCCTATGCCCATACACTATGAATCCCTATATGGTATATGAACCTTAAACCCTTTTATGGTTCATCTCGTCCATAAGGTTTGGACCTGCGGTACATTCTGGCCTGAAGGGGCAGTGCGCTCGCTGGGCCGGAGCCTTCCCACAAAGCTGGAATTCAAATCCCAATATAAAAACGACAACAGGACTACTACTACTACTACTACTACTACTACTACTACTACTACTACTACTACTACTACTACTACTACTACTACTACTACTATTTTTCAATTGAACGCTGTGCGAGCGGGCTCTGCACATAGCGGGCGATTGCCGCGGTGCACTCACTTTGGTGTGAAACTGACTCAGACCCTATAGCTGATCCGCCCAGGTCAAAAGACCTTTGAGTGGTTGCGGCCTACAGGCTTTGAGCTAACTGGCAGTGATCAGCCAAAGCGAGTTTGCAGGCTGCAGGGTATCAAGCTCCAGATTGTTGTATGTACCTGAACATTGAAACGGAATTCGCGTTGTGTATGCTGTCAGCAGAGCAGCAGTAGCGCGACCGGCAGCAGGCTAGGGCATGATTTCCGACTGACAGCGGCGGCATCCGGCAGAAGGGCCATCAGTCTGTCTCGGAAGAGACGCAAGTGAGAACAGGCATGGCCTCCGCGACTTACTGCTTAGTCTGCCAGTGGCACCATTGGTTGCAGCGTTGGAGAGGGCATGCAGGGCGCTGCCTTGCCGCTGCTTGCCGCCTCCGGATGTCTGGCGTCGAGTGTCGACCCCAAGCGGCTCAGATGGCTCTCCCATTAGTGAATCTGGAGCCAGGGGAGAGGCGGTTCGACCACTTTTGTGGTCCGGGCTGTGGATCGTGTCAGCCATGCTGGGTCAGCCTGAAAAGCTGCGGGTAAGCCTGCGCATGCCTAAAGCATGCTTGGCCTTGACGTGGGGGGGGCCATGCCCACCTATTGTGGGGTCCGGCCTTCCCACGCACCCTATTGGTGCACGCATTCCTAGGTTTGGAGGGCCAGCACTCACCCCTTGAGGGTGAGTCAGAGTCACTCCTGTCTTCTCAAGAAAAGGAGGTAGCAGTCTTCCATAACATGTTTGCGATCTGAGGCCGAGGCTGGGTATGGGCGGGTGGCATCATCCCCCACATACAGCGCGCCTCCATTTGGGTGAATCCAGAAGGACCGGTAGTGGCCGGAGTGTATGTCAGCACCTATGTGAAAAACTCCCGAAATGACTGCATATTGATGCCATTGCCGGCCCTGACCCTCAATCCAAGACGGCATTGAGAGGTGCCTGCGCAGGTCCAGCGGGGTGCGTCGTTTTATGCCGTACTACTACTACTACTACTACTGCTACTACTACTACGACTACCACTGCCACTGCTACTGCTAGTGCCCATCATCATCATCAGCAGCAGCCTTATCATGCCATATAAGGCCCTGATAGCTAGAATGGGGTTTGCCGGGTGCATTATTGATGGAGGGACCATGGGTAAATGAATGTTTTTGCTACATTATGATCCTCCAAAAGCTATCCTACAAACTACAATCCTAAAGCTAAACCCGAGTAACCTAAAAACCATTGAGTCCTTCGGACGCTCAAGGCAAGCCTCCTACCGCTGGTCTATCATCATCAGCAGCAGCGGCAGCCTCATCATGCCTTATAAGGCCCCTGATAACTATGATTACCCTACTGGTGGAGGGACCATGCGTGCATGGTTTTGCTAGTTATGCTCCTCTAAAAACCATCCTACAAACTACAATCCGAAAGCTAAACCCGAGATACCTAAAACATTGAGTCCTTCGGACGCTCGAGGCAAGCCTCCTACAGCTGGTCTGTTGGGCCCCAAAACCCTTACAACACGAATCCTCTATTCAGCAGTTCTATGATAAGGATGTTGTAATCAAAATGCAAGGTGATCACACAAGGAATTGATCGCAGCCCTAAAGAACCCTTACATGCCCTTTGATACTCAAGTCACTAGCACGGTCCGAATCGAACACAGAGACAACGAAGCAAAGCGGCATGGCCGTCGCTGCCAGTGGCGGCGGCTGTGTAGCCACCCCCACCAGCAAAGGACAAGTTGGGTCCTGCATGTTTTGAAGTGCGGCTGTTTTAGAGTTTGTCAGGTTAGAGGCTTTGGGAATACCGCTTACCACTACTAGATTTCGTTGGTTTAGTTACTGGTTCGCTGAATCATCGCCTTAAGCCCTTCAGATCTTACGAAGCCTGTTACCACTTTGACAGTTGTATAAGTCTGCATACCCTAAAACTTCGAACCGATCTATACTTACGTTGAGGTTTAGTTTTCTTTATTCATTCTTCGTTTCTTTTACGACTGCGGTTAGCTGCCTTAATCCCGATTCTGGACTTTGAAGTAACAAGGGAGAAACACTATAGACTTTTATTTCATAATGATTCCATTAAGGAGCAGGTACCAAAAAGTATTCAAGTATGGCACTCCAAACCCAGGGATTCGGGAGAACCGTGGCTGCCCAAGCGGCTGCCCCGAGTGACCAAGCACAGGACGTGAGAAACCCCCGGGGGGCCCAAACGGCAAGCTCGCTGGGTTCGAGCCCACCAGGACCCCCCAAAAAATGTAGGGGCCTTAATAGTTAGTATGAGGTCTTGGGGGGTTCCTTCTTATAACTATGGCATAATATACTCCCCCCAAATTCTCAAGGCCCCTGTATTAAATCCTTTAGCATACCCCCGGGTCCCTACGATCCCACCCCCTAAACCCTAATTACCCTAAGATCCTATGTGGCCACCCACCTCGCCTATGTGGTGCACCTGCTTCGTCGCCGTTGTCACGCGGAGGACGTGGGGGGCGTGGTTGGGCGGACCTCGGCGTGAGGCTTGGGGTGAAGGTCAAGGTTTAGGGCTTTTGGGGCTTTTAGGGTTGTAGGGTCTTAGGGGTTTAGGGGTTTAGGGTTTAGGGGTTTAGGGCTTTAGGGTTTAGGGGTTTAGGGGTTTAGGGGGTTTAAGGGTTTAGGGCTTAGGGGTTAGGGCTTTGCCATGGGATGTTTTGGGCTTAGGGTTTCAGGCTTCGGGTTTCAGGCTTTGGGCTTTGCAGGCTTTTAGGAATTATGGGTTTGGTGCTCAGAGTTCGGCGTTTCAGGTTCATAAGGGTCTAGCGTTTTTGGCTTGAGAGCTTCAAACCCCAAAGACCTTGAAGCTTCTGTGCAATCCAAGCGGCTCTTGATGGGGTTTAGGAGTTTGGGGTTTAGGGCAGGCGACTCATTGTCTACGTGGGTAAGAATGCAAGAAGTTGGATTTACCAATAACCCCCGCCAGGGCTGTCTTGGTTACTCCCCCTCCAAAACCCACATACCAAGTGAGCCTCCACGTAGGGTTTAGGGTGTGGGGCTGATGTCGAATACCCGACCCTCAGAAACATAATTTGGCGAATCGCCTAAACCCCAAGAACCCCAAAATCCAAAACCCAAAAGCCCAAAACCAAAAACCCAAAAGCAAAAAAACCCAAAACCTCAGAAATTGAAACATAATTTGGCAACCACCGCGAAGGCCAAAATGGGAATTTCCGAAAATAGGGGAACCCTAATATAGTACCCTAATATAGCAGGATCCTTACTACAACGACCCCAAAATTAGGAATCCTGAATTTTCGGAAACTCCCAAATGCCATCTGCAGACAAGATCTGGCTCTTTAGCACGGCAACCCGGAACCTGAATCCCCAAATTCGCTCCAAAACCCTTGGGTTTAGGGTTTAGGGTTTAGGGTTCAACTTTAGCCCAAACCCAAGAAGCACCAAACTGTGCATCCCAATGCCCCCGAGTCCCAGCAGCTACCGGCTTATCCTACGATACTACGCATGTTCGCCGGGATCTTGTATACGAGTTTCTGGAGGTTCTTGCAACGTTGTGTAGCAGCGGGTTGGAGCTTGCTTGGGCTTTTGGGTGTGTCGAAGATCCCCCGTGAACCGTTGGTGCATCCCAGGCTTAACCTGAGCCCTGAGTAGCCTACCTTTTTGGGGTTCCTTATTATGATTTCCTTATATATGTCCTTAAAAAAGTAGGTAATTCCGGGTTAAGGAAGAGTTTAGGCTGGGAGATTTACCTGGGAGCTTCCGAAAAGAAGGGACCCTGATATACTGCCCCTATTAGTAGGATCCTTACTATCAGGAGCGCCGAAAATAAGATACCCCTAGTTTTGGGAACCTCCCACCTGTTACCACGGAAGGGTACATGTTTGGGTTCCTCATTTTGATGTCCTTGTATACTTCGTACAACACATCAAGGGAAACCTTAGCTGGGGACCAGATGAGCCACAAGACCATGGTAACAGAACTCTCATGCTAAATCCCAAATCAGGGTACATCTCAAACCGTCCTTGAGGATGCATTGCAAAACCCAAACTCCTAAACCCAAATACTGTTCCTTCAGTGAACCCCCCGTGGAAACCTTCAAAAAAACGCTATGTAGAACCTTACAGAACAGGTTACAGAACCCCGTACGAATAGGCAGCATCGTCCCCCAAAGGGTCCTAGCTACCATTATCAGGGATACTTACCCAAAACCGTAACCACGAATGAAAGCCTACTGTATATATCATATAGGTACTTAGCACCCTTTGGGCCCGTAAATCAGCAGTAGTACGGGGTTCGCCTTTTTAGGTTAAAGGCAAGAGACCCAAACGCCTCACACAGTAGTATACTCAAAAGCCGTAGCATCAGGGTTTCATATAGATGGTGTTTGATGCAGATTTGTGTGCAGACCCCTGGGTCGTAAGCTCCCTTCGTTTGTTTAAGGGCTTTAGTTAACCTTAGGATCCCGATTATTATCCGCGAGGGGTCTACGAAGAATTATGGTACTGAAAAGTCCCAGCTTAGATGTCCGCTTCATAGGCCCCAAAAAGACCCAACATGTTACAAATGCTAGTTGGCGTTTGTCGACTCGGCTCCCCCCCAATTCTGGTGCCTAAATCCCACTGAGGACCCGGAGCTTAAAATTAAGGAACTGCCTCCATCCCCGAACCCCACAAAATAGCAGGTTATGACCCCTTAATTGAACCCTGAAACCATGGCTTTTTGGATTCCCAGATGGAGCTTGAATTAACAACTCGGGGCTCAAAATTCTGATGCAAAGTAGATTTTGCCCTGGCATTTGATTGAGTGGTTGCAGCCAAATAGAAACCAAGCTGAAGAGCAATAGACGTTGCCATCGGCGGCCACTGCTGCAGCGCAGTATTTGCCGACGCCGCCGAGGATGGGCCCAATCCTCTGCGGGACTTTCATTGATACTTCCACAGCAACTTCCGGGATTGTATAACAAATCACAACTTCAGAAGAGTGCAAATCTTACTTACAAAACCATGCAGCCGGAAGGTTCGCTTTCTGGCTCATGGAGTTGGGTTCACGATTGTAGAGGCTTCGGAAGGTGTCAAGTTTAGGATTAGGGCTGCTCGGACGCCGAAACAGGCTGGTGAGATGACTGGCTGGATTACGACCCCTACTTAGAGGGCAGAAGCTTTTCTATAATCGGCAAATGGAGCCCCAGATAGGCCCTCAACCCTAAACCCGAAACTCGAGGCCCTGAACTGGTCAGCTCTCAAACCCCGAACCCCATGTACTAACTATAGTTGCCATTGTAGTTCCTTTTTGGTTAACCAAAATCTCTATTTTTGGGTCCTAACCATCAAACTGCTTAACCAAAAAGAGGAACTGCAATGGAGACTATAGGTACTAAGACCTATAGTAGAAGCCAGAAAGTTGGAACATCATTATCCTCATGCCCTTAAGGTAAAGTATAAGGGATCCTAGCACTAATCCTCCTAAAGCCATGTTCCAACTTTCTGGCTTCTACTGTACTAAGACCCAAGGGTAGACTCGATTCCAAGCCCAGTTTCAGAGAGATACTCTGGCGGGCACAGTCGATCCGTAGGACCTTCTGAGAGGCTGCAGAAAAGTATCCCATAGGCCCCAAAAGTAGTTCCTTTTTGGGACTACCTTTCAGGATTCTAAATATGAACCACCACGAAGGAACTACTAAAAGTATCCCAACGGGTCCAGAGTACCTTTATAGCAGAATGTAGGTTTTCTATATTAGGAATTACTATTATGATTTGGGGCAGTATCCCCTATAACCGTACCTCGGGCCCTTGTTCCTTTTTGGGATTACCGTACAGGATTCTAAATCAATCTGAACCACAAAAGGAACTATTATGGGCCTTAGGGTATCGCACTGTCCTACATGGAAGCTGCCTAAGTCTGCTAGCGCTCTTTTGAGGGATCGTATGGTCTTTATGATAGGGTTTTGTAGGGTTTACAGATGGGTCCATGTCCTGAGAAAGTATATTTACATAACGGTCGAGGTCTAGGGTTTCAGGGTTTGGGGCTTTGCGATTTAAAGGATTGTTGAGGGTTTCTTGTGCCAAAGCTTATATACTAACTAGAGTTTCCATTGTAGTTCCTTTTTGGGGCTAACCAAAATCTCTATGATAGGGTCCTAAGCATAAAGCTGGTTAGCCAAGAAAAGGAACTACAATGGAGAGTATGGGTATTTGGGTACGTGGGCCCTCGGGCTGTGCTAGCAGATTGAGGTTTGCAGGAACGATTTAGGATCTAGGGCAAACAGTGCTCCACATCTATATCTATAACATGCATATCTGTATCTGTATATCTATATCTCGGAGCCCGTTTCGGGCTTGTAGGTGCCTCAATAATAGTTCGAATGGGCTTGGGAGGTATATCATATCGTAGTACAGCGAACCGCAGAAATCTGGTATGGCTTCTACTTCACCTTAAGGCCATGCGGATAATGATGTTCTTACTTTCGGGCTTCTACTGTACGTTATGATTACTAAGGTTCCTGTACTAGTGGGTGCTCATTCCTCAACCGCAGAAACATCCTAACCTCCAGGACGAAAAGCAGCGAAGAGGTTTCTCTGCTAGCCTCACTAGAAATCCGCTGAGGGCCCGGGAAACCATGATTCAGGGGCACCCGATTAGGAACCCGTGAGCCGAAGTGATGGGTTCGGTCTCTCCAGCCTGTCCAGCATCGCAGGGCGGCGCATAGATGCAGCCATCTCCTGCTATCTTCGTGCGTATTTCGTGTAGCTGGAGCCTCACCCAGAATAAGTTCTTTGCTTTGCAGATTTGCACCAAACCTTAGTTGGCCAGTATCCTAAGGGAACTAGAGGTTGAACCCGGGGGGTACATTTTGTAAGGATTATAGTCACCACAAAAAGCTTGGAGCGACGCAGCTAAGGCTACCTACTCTACTACGACAAAACGGAAACCCCATCCCTCAGGAGGATCAGAAGGACGGTTTTGGATTTAGGTTGAGGGAAATTTGAATATGGAGAAAACTGCTTTAGAAGGCCTAAGAAACCGATACTGTCAAGGTGAGCTTTTGCGAATTCCTTATGCAGTTCCTTCGACTTGGGGCTAATTACAGGTCTGACTTGAGCAGCGTGTCTACTGCATGTTCGGAAGAGGTTTAGGTGATGTTGGGTTACGGTTAAGCTTCCGCACGAGGCTTCAATTCCTAAGCCCCGCGCCAATTTTCAGAAAGCATGAACTTGACAAGGGCAGTCATCACAACTGCAGGTGGAGCAGCAATGGGAAGTGTACGGACAGAATATACTAGATTAGCAACAGAAGTAGCTGCAATCAGTCGTACAAAGCGAGGTTAACATTCAAAGCCGTAGGCACACCCGTCCTGCAAGCACGGCATAATGCCACCTTTCGGGAGCAAAAGAACTGCTAAGCGCAAGGTTTGTTGAGTTGAGGGGTTGCCGGATCTGGTCAAGGTCTTGCAGGAGTTTGCAAGTTGTTCCTGGACTTCAGTGGGAAGTACCCGAACACTTAGAAAAGAGTGCCATGGAGCTGTATAGACTTGATGGCATCTGCAGTGGAAGTTGTAGCCCTAAGGGTCCAAGTCACCAACTAAGCCGGTTTTTCAGGTCACAGAGTGTATACTCTGATATATGAGTAGTTGAACCCTTCGGCTATACCCGCTTTAGAACCATAATAACAAATTTTGTGTTTAATATTCTCTGGGGCTATGAAAGAAATAATTCCTAAGGAGACTCTAGTCAGGAAGGGGAGTGGGAATATCAAGGACGACTTCTATGAACTCTGGAAGCTCCGAGGAGCTGGGAAGGAAGTTACAAGTCCTACCGAGGCATATACCGGGGGAGCTTCCTTGGGGATACGGCTGATGGTATAAATCCTGCATCACCTTAAAGACCCGGAATGATGGTAAAACCCTGGGTAATGCAGGATATATAGCATCAACAGTAGGGATAGGGGTCGGGGGGGATATTGTATCATTACTTTACCCACGGGGTCCATTTACCCAACTAGTATATACTTTGGCCTTAAAAGACTCCCTATATAGCTACATTGGGGCCAAAGGATATATACGATCTGGGTACATGGACCCTCAGGGTTATCGAAACTGAAAAGTATAAGGGCGCATCTGGGTATTGCTGGAGCCTTATAAACTTTCAAACCCTAAACTCTGAAGCCTAAACCCACCCTGAACCCTGTAGACCCTAAATGCAACCCTAAACCCTAAACCCTAAACCCTAACCTTCCACCCCTGAAGCCCTAAACCGCCCAAACCCGGGGCTCCCATGCTTCGAGGGTCATGGGGCTTAGCAACTAAGGTTATAGAGGGTTTAGGGTTTAGGGTTAAGGCCATTGAGGTACTTATAACCTTGCTAAGTCCCATGGTCCTTGAAATAGACTCTAAACCCGGAAACCCCCTGTAGATCCCTTATAGAGCCCTTTGAGGAACCCCTTGAGGAACCTTTTAAGCTACTAAGTCCCATGGTCCATGACCCTCTACCTACTTGTCGGGTATCATGGGGGACTAAAGGTTAACCTCTTGGGTTATATAGGGATTATAGGGGACTATACTACCCCAAAAAGGTTAAAGGTTACCTACTCGACTACTAGGTCTAAGTGCAGTGACCCCAAGGTGGGCCCTCAGGAAGCCCAAACAGAACCCAAGGACTACAGCACATTACGGTTCAGGGCTTCCGTGCTGTAACATAGGGGCCTCAATGATTAGAATAAGGTTTTGGGGCCTATTATACTATAACTATGACGACTATAATCAGGAACAGCCGCAGTAGCAGACAAGCGGGAATAATTCAGCAGACGATGGTTCTGAAGATAACCTTATAACCACCCTTTGTGTAACCCTAGCGTCCGATTCATACGGGGTTTAGAGCTTAGGACTGAGGACCCTAATCTCGAGGGTTTGGGATTCAGGGTTTAGGGTGTATAGGGTTTAGGGGTTATAGGGGTTAGGGCTTAGGGTTAGAAACCCTACAACAAGTTAGTAGATAGGGTTGCGGTTGTTCAAAGTACTGGTAGAGACCCCGAAACTGCTGGTACCTGAGGCCCAATAGCCCTGTAGCAGCCGAGCAACCTCTATCAAGCTTGAAGCCCTACCCAGAGGCTCCATAGTAGTTCCTTTTTGGGCTTCATATATAGAATCCTATAAGGTAGTCCCAAAAAGGAACTACTATGGAGCCTCTGAGTAAGCCCTTCATTAGATTTATGTGTCAGGGTTGAAGGGAAGGAACCCTCTAACTCCAACTAAACCATCGAGCCCCTGCATAACCACAGAAAACCTTTTGCAAAACCTGGTAAGACATACCTGAAGGCCTACATTCGTAAACGGGAACCCAAACCCTAAACCTGACACCTTACACCCCAACCCTGGAGCCCCAAACCCAAAACCCTACACCTCATGTAAACCCTGAACCAAAACCCAAACTCAAGACCCTGCCTATAGTCTCCATTGTAGTGCTTTTCTCTGGTTAACCAAAAACTATATTATAGGATCCTAACCATAAACATTGGTTAACCAAAAAAGGAACTACAATGGAGACTATAGGCGCAGCCCAATCCTCTAATCCCAACTCCCAAGCCGATGAGGCTTCGGCAGAAACCTACAAACCCTATCAAACCCCGAAAGGACTTATGCACAGCACAAAACAGACTCCTTAGCCCCGTAAACCCTAAACCTAAAACCCTAAACTGTTACACCACAATCCTTAAACCCTAAACCCTAACCCTGAGCCCTGCGCCCCAATCCTCAGACTCAAACTCTACTTGGTTGTAGACTAGGCAACCTGTATCTTGTTGGTGTACTTAGCATACTGGACACCTTGGCCTAACCGCCAAACCAGCAACCTTTAGAAGCTTTAGCCCCTTTTGGGGTAGCTACTTAGGATATTGCACAACTTGGCCTAACCCCCACACCCTAAACCCGAAACCCCTACCCTAAACCCTAAACCCCTAACCTATGAGGCCGAGTTTCTTCTGCGTCCCGTCGAAGTTTGGGCCCACGAACTCCACGCGCCCGGAGGGATAAATGCAAAGCACGCGCTGGGCGTTGCCGGGGATTCCCCAGACCTTGTTAGGGTGGAAAAAGGCTTTGGGGTTCAGGGTTCTGCGTTAGGGCTCAGGGTTGAGGCATGGATTTTTTTTTTTTTTTTTAGGGCCCTCGGGTTTCTGAAATCCACGGGTTGGGGCGAAGGGGTGTTGCTTTTAGGGTTTCAATCCATGTGGGGCTTATAGGGTTTAATGGCTTTGGGTTTGTAGGGTTTAGGCCTCATGGGCTTAGGGTTTAGGGTGGAAGGCTTGGCAAGGACTATGCGATGCAAAAGAGACTACAACTCAAATCCGAACGGCTCTGACATCGATAATAATCTAAAAGGGGGAAACTCTAAACCCTTAATGAAACCCTAAAAACCCCCAACTCTAAACCAGTGCTCTGAGACAAGCACACAGCCATCGGGACCGAGGATTCCAACAGTCCATTTCCTGGGCACAAGTTGGTCTGCGATGGAGCCCTTAAGGTCTAGGGTTTAGGATTTTGGGGTTTAGGGTTTATGGTCCGGGATATGGGTATGGAGGGTTGAAGGAAAAGGTGCTTGGGAATCTAGGTGAAGTTTTGCGGTTTAAGGGTTTGTAAGTTGGAAAATGAAGATTAAGTTCTATAGGGTTTAATTAAGGTCAGGCGGAGTTGCTTCGAAATGCGGATTTAGGGATTGGGATGTCAGAGTCGAGAGGTCCTAGGACTTACGGGCGATAGACATTCAGGTCTCAAGGGCTTCAAAGCTTCAAGCCTAACAGCCCCAAGCCCGAAAAGCCGAAATCCCAAACGCTACCTATAGTCTCCAACCAAAATCTCTTTTATGGAGTCCTAACCATAAAACTGGTTAACCAAAACAAGGAACTACAATGGAGACTACAGGTAGTTACCCTAAACCCAAAATCCAAGACCCAAAACGAGTCCAATCGTCATGCTCAACACAATAAGTACCCCAACAACCCAACACCCGCACAACAGCCGGTCTTCTTCAGGAAAGTGGACAAGGCCCCGTACCCGAATCTAGGGACTTGAAGAACGGAATAAGGCTTTGTGGCATACGTTACCAGAATTTCTGGAGGCCATAAAGGGGACAACCCCCAAAATACCCTAACACCTAATCCCGAAAGCCAATGTTTCCTCCGACCCCTATACCCTGAACCTTGAACCCCGGACCCTAAACTCCTAAACCCCTAAAGAATCCCTACATGTTCCTGAGCAATCCCCAGAAGCCACTTAGCTCTCTAAAGAATCATAATCCGCTGTCTTACCGTACGTGGACCGATCGTGCGGGCCTTTGTCAATTGTTTAAGCTTGCTTTAGGACCTTAGGTAACATCTAGAAAGGACAGTCCTGGCGCAGTGTTTGAGGTTTAAGGCTCATGGACTACTACGAGGGACCTGAGCGTGCTATCTGAGGGATCCATACTCCGAGATTCCATGTCTGCTCGTCAAAAACAGGGCCAAAGAGCTCGGATGAACCTTGCGCTTCCCGGTTTCGGGCTCAGGGCGAGGGGTGCTAATCGTTCAGGCAGTATACTGTAATCCCGTTAAACAGTGACTTTGTATGGGGGATACCACGGTGTATTCGGATGTCTATTGATCTTTTTTGGAACCTCAGGACCTAAGGCTTACATATTATTCGGCTTTACCAGCACCCCCAACTGCGCTCCATTATACCCTGAATAGCCACGATTGAGGACCAGAAGGGCTTCGTTGAGGGGTACTTGGGAAGCTCTGGTACGCCTCAGGGTTTTGGGCTTTGGCGTCAGGTGTCTGACGTGTAAGATCGGTCTTGGGATTAAGGTTCTTTGGTTGCTATCGGACCCCGTGAGATTGAACGACTAGGCTCCTGAACAACCGCTATTAATAATGACGGTACACTTTTCCTATCAATACAATTACAGTTTTAATTAAGGAGACCCCAGAACAAGAGAGCGAAAGGGTACTACTCAGGAACCTAGTCATCCCTAAACCCCTATAAATCCTGAACCCTTTAAGTATCCCTTTAGGGAACCCAGTTTGGGTTTAGGTTGCTGTAGAGGTATGCTGCTCTAGGGTTCCCAGGAACCTAGGAATAACAGGGGGCTTCTGAGGAAGGGGTTAGTGTTGTTTCTCTCACGCGTAAATAGTCGAGCATTGGGCCCCTCGAATGCCCGCCATACGCCGGCCATGACGGAGAACAGGGTCCTCTAGCTCGCTGGAGAGGAAACACCTATGGGTTTAGCGTTTAGGGTTTAGGGGCCAGTGTCACCACAAACCGGGCCAGCCAACAAGAAGCAAACGGTCCATGCTGAGAACGCCTTCCTAGAAGAGGCGCCCTGCTTTCTCCAGGTACGCTTGGACCCACCATGTCATGCCATTCCATCGCTACGCGATTAAGGAGCCCTCCCCAAAATGGAAAAAATGGCCTTAAAGTAATTCCTATAATATATGTACTTTGGGGCAAAAGTTTAGGGTACATGGACCCTTACGGATCTGGTATTCTGGCACCAGGACTGTAGAGCCCGAAACCCCCACCCCTTGCAGTTAAGGAACCATCCGGTCCCAAGCGCAAAATGCGAGAAGCATTGCCTAGGATGGGGAAACTTCAGAGTTTAGGGAAGCTTAGCGTTTAGGGTTCTGAATATTTGGGCGTAGGCGTGCTCTTTAGGGTTTAGGGTTCTGCATATTTGGGCAGAGTATGGTCTATAGGGTTTCCGAATCTCGAATCTTTTCTGCCACCCGAACGCCTCCCTCATTGAACTTGCAACTACCCTTAAGGACGAAATGAGCCCTGAAAGGGATTAAGGTTCATATATCGTACAGGGATTCATAGTATCTGGCTATAGGGCCCCTACTTTTAAGGGTCATTTGGTCCTTCAGGACGATCAAGAACGTCACATCTCAAACATCCCCAAGGAGCCGTGGCAGTACCCGCGCTCCAGGATTGCTAAAGGACAACGGCGCGGTTGAACAACAGCCTCTACATCCAACAAAACCGAGAATAAATGCCCCCCCCCAAAAAAACAATACCCACCTCTATTATAGTTCCTAAACCCCCAACCCCTAAACACGCAAACCCTAAAACCCGCTAATGGTTGTAGAGGACTGAGTGAGTATCCGGCTGGCAAGAGCCTTTAGGATCCTTTAACAACCCGTAGGGTCCAAGTAACGGTATAGTAAATGCTTCTGCGGCTCAAGTATATGTGAAGAATCAAACCCACCACATCGGTACATGGACCCCTTGGGTGAGCACAGCTAACACTTAGGGCTAGGATCCGTCAATCAGAGGGTAAAGTGCCAAAGAACCGGACATTCCCGATACAACGTCAAACCTCGACCATAAAACCCCAAGCATCAACCCGGATATCTCTAAAACACGTATCGCACGGCCTAAACACTAAAGCCCTGAACCCCACAAATCATTCGACTCTGAAGCCACAGACACCAAACCCTGGATGCTGAAATCTTAAGCCCTGAGGCGTAAACCGATAAAGCTGTAGACCGACAAGGCTTATGAGGTTTAGAGCTTGGGGGTTTAGGGGTTGGAGACGACACTGGGTGAGTCGCATGCGGTCCACAAGGCATGCATACTTGTTTCCATCACAACCAAATTTTCCAAGATCTCTGGCACAAGCGATGGAACAGCGAAAACTGAAGCGCTCAGAAAGCAGTTCAGCTCATATAGGCCACTTGGGGCGTGCGCCCGCAGAAGAGCAGCATCATATCCAGCTGTATTTGCTTGAAGCTCCTCCTTGCTTTTGCTTTTCTGCCTCTCCGGGGCAACCGGCTCTCGGCTCTACGCGTCTCGCTGTGGCACCCACAAGCTTGCACCTCGTGCTTCGGATGCCGATGGAAAGCCTTTACGCTTCACAATCAGAATCGCACAAGGGTGCAACAGCGCATGCCGTCAGCGCCCACTCGGGTTGGCTGTTCAAGGAACGTTTACAAGGATTGGAGGTTGAGGGTTGAGGGGTTTAGGGATTAGAGACGAACCTACATAAATCGAATCTTAAGGTTGACCTGGAGGTACTCCAGATAAGGCTCAGGGCTTCGTGGCTTGGGCGTTTGGGCCTCGAAGCTTCAGGGCTTTGGGGTTCAAAGGTCTTTTCGAAATCTGCGTCGAGGGAACCCAAGAAGAGGATCTCCTCAATACTGAGCTCTGCATCCTAAGACCCGAAAGTAGTTCAGGGTTTAAGCCCTAAACCCTAAACCCCTTATACACCCTAAACCTTATAAATCCTAAACCCGGTTTAGGGTTTAGGATTTAGGGCCTCTGCGGATATCTCTGTTGACCCTCGATCCGCGAAGCGCTTCACCTTTGCACCCTTTGCCATGTTAAGAAACTCAGTCGAACGCTGAACATGAGTTCAGACGCCTCAACTACTAGACTATAGCTTCGGGGAAGTTATAGTATGATTATGTATGGACTCAAATAAGGGCAAAATAGTCGCTACAATCCCAGCAGAGCCTGCAAGGCTCCTTCCAGCACCCTTAACGAACTGAAGGTTGAACTGCATTTGGGGTTTAGGGTTAATAAGGGGTTATAGGGTTTAGGGTGTATAGGGTTCAAGGTTTAGAGGGTTTAGGGTTTAGGGGGCTTGTACAGGTAGCGTTGCAGTACCGCCCAAAAAGCTTAAAGGCTACCTACTCTACTGTTATGTCATGCTGGCGTTCTTTCCCAAGCTACAGGGCAGGGCGTAGATGTAGCCATCTGCCCCTGTGACCGCGGAGGCCCACCTTGTTCTCAAGAGTACACAACCTAAGGCTTTTAATGTTTAGGGCCAGTTGGTTTTCTGAGGCATACGTCTAGAGGTCGGATGGATGAAATCAACGAGTACTGCATACAGTAAAGCAACGAGGGAGAGAAAGTATGGACTGTTACTTCATAATGGCTCCTTTAAGGAACAGGTCCAAAAGACAAGTATTCAAGTGTGATACTTACTCCAGAACCCTAAACCCCTAAATACACCCTAAACCCCAAATCCCGTTATAGATCCCTTAAAGCACCCTTGAAGCTCAAATCCCATTATAGATCCCTTGAAGCACCCTTAAAGGAACCCCGGTACACTGGCGGCGATTGGGAAGATACTGGGCTCTCCCTCCTTCTGAGGCCGGCGCGAGACAAAGAAACAAAGCTTTTCATCATTTCGGCGACTCCGAAAATTAGGGATACCTTAGGGTTCCTTTAAAGGGTTACTATAAGGGTTCCTTTAAAGGGCGCTAGAGACTCCGAAAATTAGGTGTACCTTATTCTGGCGTCCTAATAAAGTAGATAATCACAACTATTTAAGGTACTGTATTTGGATCCCCTAATTGCAGAAACTCCCATTTCGGCTCGGGGCTCAGATATCAAGGTCTGGGCTTAGGGTTAAGGGCTTAGGATTCAAGGTTTAAAGCTTAGGGTTTAGGCTTCACGGTTCAGAGTTTCGGGACTTAATCCGGCTACTGTACACCATTTAAGCATTCTACCGAATCGAAGCTGGCTCATGTCAGTCGGAGGGCCCCAAAGGTGGGATGAAGGCAGGTGGGATAGTCCCAACTAGAATCCTGATATAAGGGATCCTTCATCCTACCTAGGAGTTTTCGGAAATAGGGGACCCTTATACAGTACCCGAAATAGTAGGATCCTTCTTATAAGGACCCCTAAATAAGGTACCCCTTTTTTTGGAAACTCCCACCTAGCTTCGGCCCAACTTTTGAGGCCTCCGACTGGGAGCTGGGAGTCGGAGCCAGAACCATGAACGCTAAACCCGAACCCGAAGAACTCTCACAACACCCTACCTATAGTCTCCATTGTAGTCCCTGTTTGGGGTTAATCAAAATCTCTATTATAGGGTCCTAACCATAAAAGGGTCCTAACCACAAAACTGGTTAACCAAAAAAAGGGACTACAATGGAGACTACTAATTATAGGTAGGCCCTAAGCCCCGAAGTTCGGACCCACCTTGAGAGGTTCAAGGTATGCTGTAACGTCAAGGTTTAGGGTTTAGGGGCTTAAGCCCTCAATCATCTAACCCTGCCTGGACCGCTAATGTAGGTGAACTAATGGCCTTCTGCAGATATATATATATATATGTATATATATATATATATATATATTGGGCTGCTATATGGCTTTCTTTGAGGGGTTTAGGTATACCCAACATACCCATGAGGAATGAAATCTAAAGGAACACTAAACCCTAAACCCCTAAACCCCCAATTAAACACCTTGGAGCAATTCTGGCAGACTCGGTAGACACTTAACCCTCGATCGTGTCCCTCAATTTCGAAAAGACTGCAACCCAAAACGGCAAAAGCATGAACCCGACAAACGCGAAATCCAAACTCCCTAAACTTCAAGAACCCCCAGTGCCCTTACAGAACCCATTCAAAGGCCTTGTAGAGCCCCCTGCAAGCACTCTTGAACCCTGTTTCGTAAACCCTTTATCGAACAAAATACAACAGCCCGTAATATTGGGCCTTAATCATCGTTGATGCTACTCCCTGGGGTTCCTTGTCATAATAATCTACATCTTCCCCGAAACCCTGTTCGGATGCTGAAGGCCCCCGCATTAATCAGGGCAAACCCGAAATCCGAAACGCCCCCACCTCTGTCCGCTAAAACAAACCTACTTGTCGGGTATCATGCGGAACTAAAGGTTAACCTTTTTGGTTATATAGGGATTATACAGGACTATACTACCCAAAAACGGTTAAAGGTTACCTACTCGACTACTAGGCAAAAGAAGGTCGGCGAATGAGCCCTGCGCATGGATGCACCATGGAGGTCGCTGACCGGGGGTGGCGGCGGTGGGGGCGGCGCCCCCTCTGAGTCCGCCATGGCGTCTACAGCTTTGAGAGCTAGCTTTGAGGGTTTGGAGCCTGGACTTCTACCTTCAGGACGAAATGAACCCTAAACGGGTACTAAAGAGGCCTAAATGGGGTTCCTTGAAGGGGTCCATAAGGGATCTATAGTAGGGTTCTATTAAGGCCACTATATCAGGGTTTTCAATACCTTAAGGACGACATGAACCCTAAAAGGGTTTGTCTAAGGTTCATATGCCATATAGGGATTCATAGTATATGGGTATAGGGCCCCTACTTTTAAGGATCATTTGGTCCTTCAGGTAGGGTTAAGGCTGCAGGGTTGAGGATTAAAGGTTTCGGAATTGTTGCTTTCAGGAGGGGGGCGGGTGGGGGGTGGTAGGGTCTGGTCTAGGGCTTAACATTTAGGATGAAGGCGTTTCCAAGGGAATATCCAGGGCTTTTTGAGGCTGTATCGTGCTCTACTAATTTAGGAAAACACAATGAACCTTGCAGATGGCTTTGTTATGAGAAGCGTCGGAGGGTACGCTGAGCCGACGATCGGTTGAAAAGCATGCTGCGCATCTCTCTCTCTCTCTCTCTCTGTCTCTCTCTCTCTCTCTCTCTCTCTCTCTCTCTCTCTCTCTCTCTCTCTCTTTATATATATATATATGTATACATACATACATTTATATATACATGTATATATATACACACACACTACACTCTGAAATATCATATAGAGACTGTAGTCATCTACAATAAGTATATAGGACCGAAACTAGGATAGCATTTAGTTTTGATGGTTCCGAGCCACCTGACGAGAGTTTGAGGTTTGTGGAGGCGAGAGGTTCGGGGCTAGCGTTTAGGTACAGTGTTTTTGGCCACAGTATCTCGATATCTAAACCGTAAGCTGTCACTTATCACGAGATCCGGCCAGTTGTTGTTAAACCCTGGTTGTCATGAATGCCAGCCCCAAACCTTAAGGACGAGGCGCAATCGCCAAAGCTAACTAACAAGCAACGCTTCAAGGTCTCGGAAATACCCCACTCAAAACTCAACATAGATTACAAGGACTCTGGCACTACAACACCTCTTAAGGACGAAAAGCACCCGACTGCCATCTAAGGCCCACGAGAGAGATATGCATGGTCTTAGTGTCCAGTGCCCCTGCATCTAAGTGACATCTCACTAACGTAGGAACTTGATTAAGCAAGCCTTGGGCCTATAACCTCAAAATAGTAGGATTCGCATAAGGAACCCCAACAAGGTCCCAAGGATTCTTAATTAATCAGGTTCCTACACTAAGCCCAGAGCCCTAGCCCTAAAAAACCAAAGGCTCCATGTACCTCTATAATTTAAGCTTAGTTGCTGAGTTCATAAGGCCCAACAAGTGGACACTTGTAATTTGATTGTGGGTAATACTATCCCAAAAAGTGTGAAGTGCATCCACTCAGCTACCAAGTTTTAATAGACACTTGATTAAGCCTCCAACGGGTTTAGGGTTCAGGGTTTCGGGTATATAGGTACTTTAAGGCCTAAGTGTATACTATATGGGTACATGGAGCCTTAGGGAAACCCTTTCTTCAATGCCAGGCGAGTCCACCCCGACCCATGTGAGGGCAGTTCTGCCGCAGGATCTGGCAGGTGAATAGCACCGACAAACTTGTCTGTGCCAAGGGGGGGCGGGTTTCTGCGGCCCAACAAAACCATACAAGAACCAATTAGTACAGATATAAGTAAGTATCCCACGTAATCTCTTGGAATCAGGCCCTACCCCCCTAATAAGACTCCTTCATGCCGATAGAGCAGGTGCAAGGCTGTAGCCTTTGGCTGAGATGCTGCACCAGTTCCAGCAAATTCGAAAGCGCGAACGGCTTACCTTCTGGTATGCTTCCCAACCATACACTCAAGAAAACTAGCTATTACAGCAGTCTGCAGTACGTACACCCAGAAAGGCTCACAAGAACTCTAGTGACACTACATGCCATGCATTATGTAGGTAGCTGTCAAAATTACGGTCCCTTTTGGGGTATCCTAAATATTAGGTGCCGTATTGAACTCGGGACCCCCAAAAGGGACCCTAATTTTGACAACCAGCCATGTGAGTAGTTCCAGGGATTAGGCGGTTTAGGGGCCTCTGGTTGAAGGGCGTAGGTTCAGGGTTTACCTATGGTCTCCATTGTAACTCCTTTTTTTGGTTCACAACAATCTTTATTATAGGGTCCTAGCCATAAAACTGGTTAACCCACAAGAGGAACTACAATGGAGACTATATATAGTTAGGGTTCGAGGGCAACCCTAATCAACTCCTGTTAGCAGGGTCTACGATGTCTCCTTGATGCGATTGATCTGGATCCGTCTCATCTACTCAAAGTATAAGCCAGACATGCTCCACAGCCCCAGTGGACGAGAGGCTACGAAGCCTGAGCAAATGTTGAAAGCTCACTGTGAATGCATGCGGGGCATGGGAACACTACATACATGAAACTCCTTCCTGAACATACATTTCCGGACTGATCCTGAACATACATTTCCAAACTCGATTGACCACAAATATGGGCTTTCGCACATATTACATCCTCCAAACCACGGATATGGGATTTCGCACATGTTCGAAGCCCTGTGCCGTTCACTGTCTGCCGATGGAGTTCGGGAGAGACCCACGGCCTATCTCTCCTAATGCTCACGAGCCGAAGATTGTGCTACGGTTGATAGAAAACCTGCATTACCTCAAGCCCCGACTCAAAACTACTTTTGATGACGGTTTAGAGTTTAGGGTTTAGGTAAGGGTTTTAAATCCTGCATTACCTTAAGGACGCTAGACTATGAGAATTATGGTATATTACTTATTGCGGGCAATGCCGGATTTATATCATCAAGAGTATCATCTTGGATTTGCGGTTGATGGTTTAGGGCTTGGGGTTCAAGGTTTAGGGTTCAGAGTTCATGATTTAGGACTTAGGGTTGTTGAGGGGACCGAAGGCTTCCGGACTTTGAGGGTTAAGGGCTGAAGAGGCTACCCAGAGGCTCCATAGTAGTTCCTTTTTGGGACTACCTAATAGGATTCTATATATGGAGCCCAAATGGAGCCTCTGGGTAGAGCCAAGGGCGGTCTCAGTTTTCCATATGGGTGGTTGTCCATATCAGGGTCCCTTTTTGGGTCCTTATTTTAATCCGGCACCCAATGTTTCGGGTACCCAAAAAGGGACCATGATTTTGACAACCACCGCTATGGATTCTAGCAGTCTAGCACTCGTCATGCCAGGGTTTAAGGATTCGCCTCAACCGATACCGCTGACGTAGACATCAGACCAACAACAAGCACGTTCTTGAAGGGCCTGAAAATCGGGATACCTGCAATAACTCTTGTTGGGAAGGGGGTAAGAAGCGACCACATGGTTGAGAGTCGTTGGGGTTTGGGGAGTGTGGATGTTGCCTCTGGGGTGCAGGATTCAGGGGCCCTCCCAAAGCAGAGTGATCTAAGACTACACTGCGGCGAAGAAAACTCATCGTCCTCCTTCCCGCTGTCACCGCTGAAACGCGCCAGGGCCAAATTCCCTAAAGCTTCAGCACTGCAGCGACGGGTCTTTGGGGCCTTACCCGGTACGGTTGATGATATAAACCCTGCATTACCTCAAGGACCCTAAACTATGGGAATTATGGTATATTCCTTGCTGCATCAACCCTAAACCCTAAACCCTATAGAACCCTTAAAGGAGCCCTTTAAGGAACATAGAGGAATTATGGTATATTTCTTATTATGGGCAATGCAGGATTTATATCATCAACCCTAAACCCTAGACCCTATAGATGCCTTAAAGGAGCCCTTTAAGGTACCTTATAGATCCCTTTAAAGGAACCCCATATAGGATTTATATCATCAACCGTAGTACCAGAGACATCTGGCGAAGCTTTGGAGAAAGGCTGAAGTGACTCAGAAAGCCCGGTACCTCTTCATCGCTGAGTTGTCCTTCAAGCCCTTTGAATATTATCTACTACTATTATGGTTCTCTGAAAAATAGTAGGGAAAATAAAAACTCCCAAAGGACAACCCAGATTGAGAATTATGGCCTTCGATGTTGGTTGAGGGCTGCTGGGGGACTTATTATACCCACCTGAGCTGGGGGGTCTCACCATAGGGTTTTGGATCCACAGGTAAACCTAAACCCTTGCAGTAAGATTTCTCCGAGCTGTCCGAGAATTCGGTCGGTGCTCACTTCGAAGTGGAGAAGAGCTTTCCTGACGGCTCTCGGTTCGGGTCTGTCGGGTCTAGTGGGGCTTGCGAGTTTGGGTCTGCAGGGCTGGGCGTTTAGGGTCTAGGTGGCAAGATTAAGGTTTGGGGTCTGGGTTTGTCTCCTTCAGGTTCTTGGTTATGGGGTGAGGTTCTTTAAAGGCCTGGGTAGCGAGAGTTGAAGAAATGTTGACATTGCCCTGCAACAACTGTATATACACAAGAACTGCATGTTTCGAACCGACAATCCTCAGCCAAACCGTAAGTCCCCATTGGTTCAATATTTGGGTTTATAATACTGACTATGGTAGTTTAAGGCAAGCCTGTAAACCCCAAACCCTACACCCCCCTGAAACACCTCTAAAACCCCAGACGCTAAACCCCAAATCCTAAACCTTTCTAGATCTAGTCAGGAAACTCCAAACGTTACTCGAGCACCCCAAAACCCTGGCGCCTAGCTCGTCGCGCACGCGCATCTCGTCTCGGAGACTGGGGCCGGCGTAGCCCTGGCGAAGGGCTTGGAATTTAAGTTTTATGGTTTAGGGCTTGTTTATACTAAATCCCTTAACCCTAAACCCTATAAGGATGGGCTTCCGAGGGTCGGAAGGTTACCTTCACCCACCAAAACCTACTTTTTTGTAGAGTCCTATACAAATCTAGGTTTGGGAGCCTAGGATTGTCATAAGAACATACAAAAAGTCCGAACGCCATAACCCAAGGGGTCCAAGTAATAATACAATATACACGGTGGGGTCCCAAGTATCCATTAAATGGCTGCTGCATCGGTACTTGGATTGGGGCCCAGGGTTTGAGGTCTAGAAGAAGGATTTAGGGTGTACTTGGATCATATGAATAAGCAAATCATAAGGAACCTTCTGAAGGTGCAGGTAAGGTCTACAAGGGCTGGGGGTTTAGGGTCTAGAAGGGTTTAGGGTTTAGGGTCTGCAAGGATTTAAGGTTTAGACCCATGGGGTCAAATTCTCAATTTCGGTGTTCGATAAGTTGTATCCGCCTCTTTATCCGGGCATCTATATAACTATTTATGAACCTTAATCCCTGAAACAAAACACTCACCCCCAGGGTACAAGTAGGAGGTAGGAGCACGGCTTCAGCTCTGAAAGGTTTTTGGCACCGACTGAGTCTACTACTGGGGCAGTTGAACTTTTATGGCTACTATTGCCCTGAAACCTAATCCCCAACAGGCCCCACTCTGTAGCAGTTGCATATTTTTTCTCTATCTATGCAAAGCCCTTAATATGACCCCTGAAAGCCCTAAAACACGTGCTCCCGGGTCCCGGACGCCCGCACAACCGGCACGAACCCACACAAAATAGCGGGAGAGTCGACGATGGAAAATGATCTCAGCCACTGCTTCTTCGCAGAGCGGAGAACCGCATCAGAGCAGGGATAGGGGCACCGTTTGCAAGGAGAACAGAGCAACATCAGATTTTGAATGGTAACGAGCACGAAGCGATGACATTATATACTGCTAACAAGCTGCAGCAACCATAACCCCAAAGGGTCCTAGGTACTGCTATGGAGGATACTTCCCCAAATAATAATAGCAACTCCTAATATAGAAACCCTACATTCTACTATAAAGGTACTTTGGACCCTTTGGGAACATACCTCTGTAGAACACACTGCCCCCCACAGGCGGCGCGGGGCCAACCAAAACGACCCCAGCCAACATGCGGCAGGGGGGGAGGGGACGAGGCCAAACAAGACCACCCAGGAAGACGGGAAAGCAACAAGGCCAAACAAGACGACTGCCCACTTGACAGGCAAAAGGGGGAGGGATACCATGGGTGGGGGGGAGGGGGGGTGCAGCAGCCCTGCATCATAGAGAGACTGCCCCAGGGTGGTGGCAGTACCCAAGAGATTCGCGCGGCAAATATCTTCACCAGGCCAGGAGGAGTCCTGCAGGCTGTTGATCGTCTTGGGCTTCTCGGGTTTAGGGATCTAGAGCTTGGGGCTGACGGGTTGGGAACTCCTTAAGGTCTAGATTGATGATAAGGTTCAGAGTCTAAGGTTGAAGAAGGACTTGCCACAGCATGTGCGGAAACTGCTACTTGCAGAGGCCGGCAGGTACGAACAGTATCGCAGGCTTCTATGTTCGATGGACCTCGGAAGGTTTAGGATGTTAGGGTGTCAGGGGCAGGAGAGCGGCGTGTGTTCGGAAACTTTTGAGTCGGTTTACGGGCTTCGGGGCCTGAACCCTGAAATGAAACTTATGGCTGGTGTTTCGCTGTAGGGCCTTCGGGTGTGGGATGAATCGCAGAACAATACTAGCCGTATACCTCCAAATACGGACTGAATTCTCGATCTATGACTCCGTTTCAACAGCTTCAGACCATGTTGAACCATGATACCCCGAAACTTTTGATCAGCATCGCAGACAAAGAGGTCAAAAGCATCGTCGCTGAAGCCAATGTGACTCGAGGCGAGAATGGAAGAGTCGGCATGGAGAGTCCAAGAGCATGAACTATCCGTCGTCATCGCTAGCCCTTTTACCTAGACGGGACGCACTTCTTCACAGTTGCGCTTGCAAAAAGTTCGGTACCTGAAAACAGATGCGAGAACAGCTTTGAGCTTGCGACTAGCTTCCTGCTATTCTGAGATTACTGGAACCCTAAATCTTGAACCCGAAAACCTGACAGCAGGTTCCAGACTTCGTCGCTTCTGGGAAGGGTCATGATGACAGCCCCTGAATACTTACCCCAAACTGACTCAGACACGTACATTTACCGTAACGAGGCTTGAAGATTTACCAATGTTATTCCATGTTCATAACCATAATACTCTGGAGTATACCTCGAAACCTTGTTCGAATTGTTGAGGCCCCGAGCCTAATCATATAACATCCGAAAACCTGAACCACGTCTAGCGGGAATCCTAATTTCATCACGACGGCCCCGAGATTAGTTTTTCTTGCCTTGTGCACAAGCATTAGTTTTAAGAATTCCTTGAACGGTAGCATGAAAATTAGCCACACCTACATTCAACAACCATAAGCCCTAAACTCAGGTTGCCGACTCTTCTTGTCTCTCTGTGCGACACTTGGGGCCGCGCTCCACTAGTGGGAGCTGGGCACATCGTCGTAGTAGAGGCCCAGAGGAGCACAAGACATCAATCTAAAATCCTAACTGAAACCCTAAAAAACCTACGTCTTAAGACGTCCTTCTTATGATGTCCCTATCTAGATCCTTCAACACGTAGGCTGTTTCAGGTTAAGGCAAACCCTAGCCAAATCCTAAATCCTAGATAACAGAAGGATGTAATCTGGGGCCAACAAAAGTTGGACTGCAGCTCTGAAGCTTGAAGAGCAAGTTCGCAGGTACCATGTATGCCATTGCAATCACGAGCTTTGCCAACCACTGCCATCGGGTGTAAGGTTCAGGCAACCTTTTCAATCTGCAAACAGACTGGGTTCTATGCCCTAGCCACCCTAGTAATTAAGGGAAACATCTTGTCCGATGCATCTTTGTGCTGGGGGACCTCTGGCAAGGTCCCCGATAGTAACCCCAGTAACAACCGATAGGAATGGCAATGCTTGGAGAATATAGGTGCCTCTTTAATTGCCAATACTATTTTGGTGGTTCCTCATTATATTTACAGTATATAATGGGACCGCAAACCCTATTCTAATTAATTATTAAGGCCCCTGCAGTAACCCTCAGGAGAGCTGCACAAAGCACAACCCTGGCTTACACAGTTTGGACGCTGAGTTCTAAACCCTGAGCCCCAAACGCAAAAACCGAACCCTGAACCCTAACCCACAAGCCTACCCTACCCTATCCTACCCTGCCCTACTACCCTACTACCCCCCTACCCCCCTTACCCCCCTACCCTACCCTACCCTATGAACCCTGAACCCTAGCCCTAACCCACAAGCCATGGCTGTAAACCGCATTCAAGGCTTCGCACTTGCAGGTGCGGCTCAAGTCACCCATGCAAGGGAGAGGTCTCATAAGCATAACATAAGATCCTTGAGAACAGGAAATATCTGAGTTTGGGTTTATAAGTAAACCCGAAATCCTATGCCTTATGATTCCTAAGGGGTAGGATTTCGGGTTTAGGGTATGGTTATAAGACTACAGCGGGGACTGGAAAGGTGTAACTGTTTCAAGTTGTTCCAATCTTTCCATCAGGAGATTCTGATCATGGAGGCCTCAATAATTGGAACAGGGATGTGGAGACGAGACATTTGTCATAGCCGGCCCTAAGCATTCTGGATGAATATTCGTTCTCCTGCAATTCAACGTTCTGGATGGGCCCGTAATACTCAGCTATGTTGTTAAAGGGTGCTGGATGGGATTTCGTCGTTCTGGATGGTTGTCATTGCTGCGGCATTTGGACATTCAAAGCACGGCATGATTGATGACCTTGACATCATGTGAAGGCTAGAGAAAGGCAGGATTTCACATGTGTTCGATGTTCTGTCATTGTGGCCTGGGTTTACATCAATAGTAGATCTCCTCCTCGTGTGCCATTGGCGAGATGGTGAAGAAGAAGATCCAGCGGCAACTTGCTTCAATTATGGAAAGCCGATATTCGCAGATAGCTGGTATCTAAGCAACATGATAATCAAGGGTCTGCATGCTCAAATAAAACAAGATGATGATGAGGCTTGCGGTCTAGCCGCAGCCCAATTGAAATGATTCCCAGGGCGAGAGAATTGAGATGAGAGTGATGAGCCAGAGAAGCCAATGATATGATTCAATGATGACACGGTGCGGGCTAGCCGCCTGTGGTCAATGATCATGAAGAAATCACAGGTATGACATGCCATCCCATGAAAGATGATCAAGGATGGTTCTAGTGCAGTGTACAGCATGATGGGAAGGGACACCTAAGACCTAAGCCCATGATTGAGCGATTCAGTGGAAAGGCATCTGAGTTCAGGAAGCCCCATAGAATGGCAGAAGGGGCAATAGGGAAACTATGAAAATCTCGCATAATCATAACGATGTCATTGCATGATAACACAATTAGATGAGTCCAGCTGAAGAAAGGCATAAGTCATGATTCCCAGGGCGATGTCTTCGATGTCTGTGGGCGGCGAGAGTGCTGCCGACTCTGCGAGCCCGCCGTCGGCGAAGAACTTCATGTTGAAGACAGCCGCTGCCAAGCTGACCGAGGCTTTGGCAGGAGACGTGGTCGGTTGAATGATGAGATGGATGCTCATGCTCATGAAATGCAATATAGAGTTTCGAATCACCACCCATGTTTGCAAACCCGACAGCAGGAGATGATCTCAAGAAGAAGGACAAGAAGAAGAAGGAAAAGAAGAAGAAAGGTCGCTGACTTGCATGTGGCTTATGAACATGCAAAAGTGATATAAGCCTGCATTTTCTTCTCGCCGAGGCAAGAGCACCTCGTCATCCCAGTCGGAGAGTGGCGATGTGCCGGAGGTGGACGTGCCTGCGGCTGTGGGCTTGCCCAGCAAGGAGTTCTCGAGGAACTCAAAGCAGAGCAACCTGGAGGACCTTTCGGTTCGGCAGTT